ACGCTTTTTGAAAGACGATTAATCGAGAAGTCCTTGGAGGCGTCGAAAGGTGTCTGCCCTGTCACGGGCAACGAACTGAGTGTGTCAGACTTGCTTCCGGCAAGCCACAGCGTCGGTATTTTAGCGACCAGCCCTCTTCGCAAGACTGTAATTATTTGAGTCCGTAGGTTGAGGCGAATCTTGCGGTACGCCCGCGGCCGTTGACAGCAACGTCGCTCCCGGGGATGCTAGCGATGTTTCAAAATGAATGGGATGATGTGATGCTGGAAACCCACGTTATCAAACAACAGCTTCACGCAACCCGCAAAGAACTCTCGCATGCACTTTACCAACACGATGCAGCGTGTCGTGTGATTGCGCGTCTTGTGAATGAGCGGGACGAGGCGCAGAGGCTCGTGGCCGAACTGCAACGCAGTCTCGCAGGCAAGCTAACGTCGGAAGGAATCTCAAGCAACACACCGAATATTAGCAAGGATGGGCTAGGCCCTGAAGTCATCACGCACTTGACAGATTTCTGGAAGAAAACATCCAGGTCACGCAAGAAACGACCGGTGTCAAGGCAACTGAGCCCTGCTGAAACAATAATTGGCTGGTCGAAGAAGACGTCCATGGAATTGTTTAATTCAAATTCGGGTGCAACAGATGTCGCTATTTGCCAGCTTTCAGGTGCAATCGTCTGTGCTGGCGGAAAATCTGGTGTTGCTTGGCTCGCCGCGGCCAGTGCCCCTGCCGCCACAAGTAAAGGTTGTGTTGCGGATACATGTTCCATCATTCCGGGTAGTGCATCCTCACCGGGCACGGTATTTGCAACCTCAGGCGGCGACAAAATAACTCTCTGGAAAGCCAACGAGAAGGACCTCTCGACCGTTGCGTCTGTCAGAGTCCCTGGCGCTGCATCTGTGGCAGCTCACCCAACAGGAAGCTACGCCGCAATTATTAGCAGCAATGCAAGCTGGGGTCTCGTGGCGTTTGGCACTGAGATGAGTACGCTACGCGAGCTAAGTCTGGTGATGCCTGATGATCCTAGCGAAGCTCCGTCTGCACCACTTAAGTTCCACCCAGACGGCCTCATTCTTGCAACGCCGACAACTTCATCGCAGGGGCATGTTGTCCGTATTTGGGATGTCAAAGAGCAGAAGAGTGTTCACGCTTTCGAAGGTCATTCGGCACCTGTCTCGTGCGTCGCCTTCTCAGAGAATGGCTATTACATGGCCTCCTCTTCTATCGATACCTCCGTCAAGATTTGGGACCTTCGTAAACTCATCGAATTAAAAACGATCAATAACTGTGATAGGGTAACTGCCCTAGCCTTCGACCGCAGCGGCAAATACTTGGCTCACGCCTCTGCTACGCGCATTCAAATTCACGCGGTGAAGGAATGGAGCACACTGAGTGAACTTGAAGTGGATGGGCAGATTCGTGCGCTTGACTTTGGTATCGATGCAGAATTTGTCGCAGCTGCCTCTTCCAAGGGCAATCTCGACTTTTTCGGTTCGTGCAACTAGTACTAAAGCTTGGTGTGTTCGTCTCATACGCCCTTGCGTTCGCCTTACACTTTGCTTGATGAGAGAATTTAGCACCAGGCTACGCGAGAGCTTCTCTTCAAGCACAGAAAGCAGCCCCTGGGGCTGACGGACCAGGGGCCGGCGTCGCTGGCCAGTGTGGAAAACAACTTTAGGACCTAGCCGGACCTAGCCCCGTCGACATAGCGATATGTTTGAAGCGTAGGGCAGTAACATATCCCGCCGGCGGGATATGTTAAGCGCCGTTAAACGCCGTTTAACATATCCCGCCGGCAGTATAAGTCGGAACTAGTGGGAACCTAGGCCCCAAATAACGCGCTAATAACGCGTTATAAACCCCATAATAAACGCGGCCGAGGAACCCGCGTAATTTACGTAAATAACGCGGTCCATTTTTTTTTACTCAACTTTTTTTTTCTAGTCAAATCGACGCCGTTTGCATCTCGGACCCCCGGCGAAAACAAAAAAATAACATAAAAAAAAAGCTCCGCGTAAATAACGCGTAAATGACGCGTAAATAACGCCGTGGCGACGCTCACGTTATTAACGCCGTCGCGTAATTTTATACCTAGGTGGGAACTAGGGCAAATTTAAGGAGCTGGCATGGAGCAACTCATCACCTCTCTGCGGTCGCCCTGCGACTGAACTAGGTTCAAAACTCCCCCGCGCGCGCGACGACGACGACGGTGGTGGTGGGGGCAGCGGCGGCGGCGGCGGCGGCGACGACGACGACGACCGACCAACCGACCGGCCCAGAAAATAGGTGCCAGGAACTCGCCCTGGACCCAGGGGAAGTCACCCGAGGCCCCCCCGAGTACGCCCAAGTAGGATTTAATCAAAGTTTACGCTCCTGCCGATACTTCCTCCGACCGACGAGAGTCTCGAGTGTATCCGCGGTTAATCTGGCTGAGACAGGATGGTGAAGAAAAGTCGAGCATCGGGGACGAGGCTATCGCCTTGCTTCAAATTACATGAATCGATGGAAACAGGGACAATGGGAGTGAGCCAAGCCCTGTTCCACCAGCGTCATTGTTGAAATTATTTCACGCAATTATTTCATCTGCAATAGGTTCCAACTACGGATGCCGGTGGTTGGTGCCGAGAAGGAGGGCGGGTCGACCCGCGAGGAGACGGGGCTTCAGAGACCCCATTCCGCCCTGGTTCGCAAGCCCGAGCCAGGGGGGATCGGGCAAAGACCGCGGCCGCGGTCAGCGTCAGTGCGGCGACAGAGTCGGAGCGTGGCATTGCGGGAACTTTCACTGGTGCACGACCGGTGGAACAATCGACAGGAGCATCGGGGGACCGTGCGCGTGAGCTACCCGCGCGACGCAATTCGGCAGCCGACATCGGCTTGGCCGCAGCTTGTGGCCATGGACGCGGCCGCGCCACACCCACTGGAGCGGTGGTCGCCACGATTTGAGCGCGCGAAGCAGAAGCGTCTTCAGCATGAGTATAACAAGGCACAGAAGGCGCGCGTGGAGCTGCACCGACCCGAGCGAAGGCGCGCGGCGGAAGCGCGCTCCAAGCGAAGCAAGCTCTGGCTTGCCCGCGTCATCCACATTGGCCTTCGTGCATCCCTGCTCGCACATTGTCTCGGGGCGGATCGGAACCTCACCTGGGACGTTCCCTGGGACTGGGGTGACGACAGCAAGGATGGCGACAGCCAACTCTGCGTCGATGACGACGCCAGTGGGGCACAACGTCAACGCCTAGAGCGTGGAGTATCGTTGGCGTCACTCGACGACCGTAGACGGAAATGTGACAAGATCAAGGAAAAGGAGAAGTGGCGGAACGAGCGTAGGCAGGAGTATATCGCAGCGGCCAAGGTAATCGCGCAATGGTCCTTCTGTTGCGTCTATCTTTTGCTCGAGTCCCCACGCGACTGGCCTCCGGGCGACTGAGGCTTCGCTCACAGGTTCATTGCGATCAAATACCAGCGCGTCGTGGACAAGGCACGATGGGTGCCATTCCTGCTCGGCCGCTGCGTGCGGCGGATGGAAAGGGCGTTTCGCATCAAGTCTCGACGATGGGCGGCGGACCTGATCTCCTCCTTCCTCGTGTGTCCCGAGTCCTGGTATGTCGCCCACCCGAGTTCAACGCGCGTAGGTGGAGACCAAACGCACGGGGGCCGTGGCGATCCGGAGGCTCCAGCGCAGCGTGCGTCGAGTCCAGACCGTCGTCCGCGTTTGGGGCGCGTGCCGCGCCGCACGCATCGTACTTCTTGACAAAGCATTTCAGCGACAAGAGCGACGCTACCGGGAGGAGCTCTTCGAAATCAATCGTGACGCGCAAGTACTTGCACTGGAGCGCATGCAGAAAAATCCCCTCTTCGGGGCACGTACCGTCCGTCTCTACACTGCCAACGCGCGCCTCAAGAAGCTCCTCAGCCTCCGGGGCAACAGCCATATCTCAACGCGTCTCCGTGCGCGGACGCAGGATACTAGCGCTCGCTGTGGGGCCGCGGACACGGACCTCCCCTCGATCGCCGACTCGCTAGAAGCAGACTCGCCCGGAATCGAGGACGGAGGTCGGCGCGAATACCGGTCGTGGAAGAAGCACGACCGTCGCCGATTCCTCGAGGATCTCCTAACGAAGCAGCGCAGAGCCCACCAGCTCCAGTCCGAAAAGGACTACTACGATGCGCTCCGGAACATGCACAAGGTCGACACCTCCGACGTGCGCAAGCTCCTCCTCCAGAAGTCAAACGATACCACGGAGCTCGACGCGCACATCCTCCTTTCCAAGCCCGACTGGATTGAGAGACACCCCCTCTTCTGCATGCTCACGAGGCGGGGTGGCGCCATCGAGGGGTGTCGGGCCGCCATCTGCCAGTAAATCCGCGAGTGTGATGGACAAAAGCTATCCGCCAGACAGTCTGATCAATGATCATCAATGATACTATGGATTTTTGACTACCACGAAATAAAAGTACGGGGGGGAGACGAGGGAGCCTTGGCGAGTTTTCTCTAGTTAGAAGAATATGAGAGTATCCCTAGCTAGGCCCCTCCTCTCTCCCCTCGTATCATCTGGGCCGGGTACGTCCGGAGAAGGCGCTGCCTTATTTGGCGAGACGCGCCGCGGGGCAACTATCCGTGGGGCAGCCGATACGATAGCTGGCAAGTAAAGACCATGCCTCTCTCTCTTTCGAAGCCTGAGTGGGGATCTGGCTGGGAAGGGTAGTTATTTGGAACAGCATTTGTAACAGAATATCACGAGAGAGCCGTAAATTACATCAGGGATAATCCTCAGTATCAAACAGATGGTGGTCGAGCAGGCGAATTTCTATATACCAACTTGAAGTTCATCATGGCTTACGAGTTAGGACCCAAAGCACCGCGGGGGCCACCCCGGGCCCAGTGAACCGCCTCCTAGGTGGTTGGGAAATGTTACCATCTCCTATGCGCTAAACGCTCTCTGTAGCGCGAAAATGCCTGACTGCAACCGGCTGGGGGAACGTTGGGGGAACCTCTCTGGGGCCGGTACCAGCCCACCACCCGCGTCCATAGGGACGCGCCGACGAGCCAGACAGTACTCACGGGGCGCGCAACTAAATAAGAGGAGTAGGCTCCAGGACACGACCGCGAACGAAGCCCGCGGCTTTGATTAATTCGATTTGCCGGGATTACCTACTCGATACGTAACGAACGCGCGCGCGCGCATGCGTGCAAAATGGACGGGAAATGGTCCAGTTTCCTTGAAAGTCGACAAAATTGCGAGCCGAAAGACGAGAATCACCCGGCTTTGATGCTTCTTGAATACCGGGACTGCGAAACCCAAATGTAGACGTGTTTTTGGGGCCCCTGCCAGGTAAGAAAGTTTTCGTTTCTTCAACTTAGAATTCAACAAAAATTTGATTTCCCCACATTCTTTGATTTTTTGGCCCAGTGGAGCCGTTCCCCGGTGGATTTCAAAAACGGAATGCGACCCTGGTAAAGTGGGACCTAGATACACGCACAGCGGCCCAGAAGAGCCGCTGCTCGGAGCAGGCCGCACACACGGGGCGCTTACGTTAGCCTGGAGTACACGGCGGCGGAACCAATGCTTGGGTGCGTCAAGCTTCCCACGTTCGGCAGGTCCCTACTTGAGAGGGATGAACCGGGAGCTGTTTGTGCTCCCGATGCCCGGGCGCCCGTGGCGCACCGGCTTGTATGTGATCGAGAATTCCCCGAGATAGTGGCCGACCATCTCGGGCTTAATCTCGATGCCATTGAAGACCTTGCCGTTGTAAACACCGACGATGGAGCCGATCATTTCGGGCACAATGATCATGTCGCGCAGGTGCGTCTTCACGGGCTCGGGCTTGTCCATGGGCCCGCAGTTCTTCTTGGCCTTGCGAAGGCGTGCGATGAAGCGCTTGGGCTTGGATTTCAGACCGCGGTAGATGCGTCGCCGGGCGCGAGCGTGGATGAGCTTAGCGAATTCCTCGTGGTTGAGGTCTAACAGCTTCTCGAGCTCAATGCCGCGAAACGTGAACTTGCGGAAAGTGCGTTTCTTGCGCAAGGCCGCGGCGCGTTCCATCTCCGACTCGTCCATGATTGCCTAAACGATTCGGGAATCAAACGAAGACGCAAAGTCACCGCGAAGCGTGGAAAGGTGGGCGATCGCGATCCCACTAATGGCGCACGCGACTTAGCTGCCGCGCGACTCCATTCCGGCCTCGGACACCCAACGCGGAAGGGTTGGGAAAGTTGGGAGGTGGTAGGTAACAGACACGGCCGCAGGACGCGGGCGACAGACTTTTATCGGCGACCTCGTTGTCGCTCCTCGGCGAGCCGTATCCTAGTTAGCGATTTTAGGCTGGCTCAGCCAAGCACAGAAGGGGCCCCTAGGCAACGCGCGGTCTGGGCGTCTTTCGCTAAGTCCCCGGGCAGTCTCCGCCAGGTCCTCCGGCGTCTCCGGCGCGTCTCGGAAGTCGCGTCTTGGCCGCGTCTGGGGCGTCTCGGCCGCGTCTGGCGGCGTCTGGCCGGCGTCTGGGCCGGCGTCCCGCGTCTGGGCTGCGTCTCTCGCGCGTCTCTCGCGTCCCGCGGGTCTGGCTTCGGTCCCGGGGTCGTCTTTCGTGGTCGTGGGTTCGGTCCTGGGGTGGTCTCTGGCGTCTTTTTTTTCGCGTCCCGGCCGCGTCCCGCGTCTCCGGCGCGTCTCGGCCGCGTCCCGGGGCGTCTTGGCCGCGTCCTGCCGCGTCCCGGAACTCGCGTCTCCCGCGTCTCGGCCGCGTCTGCAAGACGCAACGTTGCCTAGGGGCCCCTCACAGAGTGTAAGCCTAGTGTAGCCGGAATTGCCCTAGGTTGCCCTTCAAGGTTTACTTAGCTATAGGTTTACAGTGCAGTGGATATATGTTGGCTTAGTTGCTTACTTGTATCTTTTGGACGGGGATATCCGGGTGCGGTATCCTCTTCTTCAAGTTCAAGTTGCCAGTGTCTGGCGCGCAACGTGGCGCGACTCGTCACGGTCGCCGCCGAGCCCTGCAGCCGCGCCATACCCGCCTACGGGATGACGGACGCACCAAGCCGAAATACCCGGCATGGGAAACCGGACCCGGGTATATGCCGGTATATACCCATACCGGTATATACCCTCCGAAATACCCAGAGCTGTGGCGGGAGACTAGACCAGAATGACACGGCCCGGTGTGTTTACCACCATAGAGCTCAGGCTGCCATATTTAGCCCCATAACTTCAGATGGACATCGATCTCGCCACTGGCATTTAAACCCCACTTCGAGTCACCCCCTTACTCTCACCTTCTTATTCCTGGTATACCTCCAAGGCCTCGATGGCCGCTCTCGTGAGCCCCCAAACCTCATCGACGTCCCCAGCCGCGGGCACGGCGATGAGCTTCCCGCGTTTCTTGAAATGCTCGATGATTGGCCTCGTCGACTCCTCGTACGTCCTGAAGCGTTTTAGGGCAGCCTCTGCGTTATCATCACTCCGCCCGCTCGTTTCCCCGCGCTTCATAATACGTTCTTGCATGACATCATGGGAAACGTCGTAAAAGAGGACGCCTCCAACGTCCGTCACGTCCGACATGAGTTCGTCCCATCCCTCGAGATTGTCCGAGTTCCTCGGGAAGCCGTCGATCACGAAGGTGTGCGCCACAGAGGCCTGCATAGCCTTGCGGATCAGGTTCAACGTCACGCGCACGGGCACAATCTTCCCCTCGGCGATGTAAGCCTCGATGAGTTCGCCGTCAGCGCTACCGGACGCGCGTTCCGCGCGCAGCAGATCACCCGCCGAGAGATGCACGAAGCCGAACTCCGCCTCGAGCTTGGCGCATTGCGTTCCCTTGCCTGCGCCGGGACCGCCGAGGCAAAAAAGCACACGAGCCTTGCGCGCATCTCCGTCGGCGCTCGAGTCGCGCGCGATCACGCGCGATCGCGGTTCATGCCTCGAAGACAAGGCCACTGGCCGCATCGCGCGCACGAGGGACGTCGCCGCGATCGTGAGCGTCAATTTACACCGCATTCTCTTTTTCACAGGCGGGGTTTGCTCCGCGACGGCGTCCGATGCCGAGGGGGTTGACCGCCGGTATGCCTGGTAGTATGCGCCTACTATGCGGGTTTTATGCGGGTTTTATGCGGGTGGTATGCGGGTTTTATGCGGGTTTTATGCGGGTGGTATGCGGCTGCTATGCTGGTCGTATGCGGGTGGTATGCGGGTGGTATGCGGGTGGTATGCGGGTGGTATGCGGGTGGTATGCGGGTGGTATGCGGGTGGTATGCGGGTGGTATGCGGGTTTTATGCGGGTTGTATGCGGCTGCTATGCTGGTGGTATGCGCCTGCTATGCGGCGACCTCCGGCGGCCGTCGCCTGGGGTCGTCGACAGCGGTCGCCGGGCTGCTATGCTGGTGGTATGGCGGTAGCAGGCTTACCCTGTGATCACAGGGCCGCAGAAAGCAGCGTTAGTGGTCCATAGCCCAGACTCGGGGTGTGAGTGTTATAGGATACGGGGGATACCGCCGGGGGTATCTCTGCCAGCGAGCCACTAGGGAGATCATAGTACAAAACTCTCTATCTCTCTAGCCGCTCCGAGCTCGACAAGGTCCGCTACGAGCGCGAGCACGCCGAGTACCTCGCCAAGGGCGGCGCGGCGGAGTAACAAATCGAATTAGGGTCGTGCACCGGAGATGCTAAGACAGAGCCTCGGTGGGATTGGGTAACTAGGGAGGGCTGAGTGGGGTATCTCGACGAACCGGCGGCTGGGCGAGGCTGTTCGCCTAGAGCACTAGAGCATTAAAGGAGAGCATCGTGACGCACTCACTTAGCTCATCCGAGGACGCCGGTCCCCCCTCACAAAGGTTAATCTAGGACAGCTCGCGTCGGCGAAACGGCGCCACGGGGCGCGCGAGCATGCCCCCAAGCGCCAAAGCAACAGCAGCCATTGAAATTAAAAATAACATGAAGCCACGATGAAGGCCAACGGTTGTCAGCCGCGAGTTCAGCCGTCCTGCACAACGCTTCTGCTCGTGCATCGATGCAGCGATGCTAAGATTTGGCGCTGCGCTCGATCTGTGGACCGTGCCGCGCCTCGGGGCCCGCAGCGAATCGCTCGGGAAACGCCATCGGTCGAAGGCGACCAACTTAGCTCGCGTCGGGGCAGCCCATGGATGATGAGAACGGCCATTGACGGTGAACGGCGGTCGATGGGGGGCCAACCTCGTACCAGGGGTCGAGCTGGCAGCGAGAGTGGGAGGTGACATCCCCTCGATTGTCCTTCTCGACTGGCCCGGCAAGGACTGCGCTGCCAGCTCGGAACATGCGTTCCGCGGTCAGCGCCGTGGCATTCGCGACGCTCGCGCCTCTCGGAGTCGATGAGGTGATCTCGATCAAATCGACTCGAGCCGGAAAGCTGCCGCGAACGCATCTGATCGCCCTCATGACGAACGATTCCCGACGCTCTGTGGCTCGAATTTGACTCAAAATCGGGTCAGGGGAAGCTGCCGCGCCTCGTCCCACCCCCTGAAGCGGTCCGTTTGCATCGCCTCACAATCGTCCGGATGTCGCGTCTTCGCATGTGCCTCGTCCATATGTTTGCGGACCTCAAAGCTGCTGGGATCGTTGCACATCGCTGCATATTCGCGGAGCGCGGGATGTCCAACCAGTTGACGAAGCATCGGCAGCTGACGAATGCGCTCGGATAGCTTCACGTTGTCGTCATGTTATTTTTAATTTCAATGGCCACCATTGCTCTGGCGTCCGTGATTTTTCTCGCCGGCCTGGGGCGCCGCGCGCCGCCGTCAGACACCTCAGAAATAAAAAGTTACGTCCGTCAGTACTCCCGGAATCCGAGATAACATACGGGGTACGTCCGAGCTACTTATATGCACTAGAGGACGTGGCTACGAGGCTGTGCCATGTCTCAAGTATTTTTTTTTTCGCGGAGCGAACAGCTCGGTCCTAGAGTCGAGGTACACCTGGAGCTGTGCGCAGACGTCGTCGCTGAGCTAATCCGGCGGGGTATGTTACTCCGCTGCTATGGGGTTACGAAAGATACCTACTTTTTCTCCTTTTCTTCGTCGAGATTGTAGTAGTCGCCCTTTTTCTTTTGCTCCCGGTCCAACACGGAGTTGAGCTTGTTGATTCGGGGGCGGAAGTTTTCAGGGTCGCGACGGAAAGTGATGTCGAGTTTTTTCAGGAACGTGTTGAAGCCGTCGGCCGGGGAGAGGGGGGCGCCGGCGGTGCACTCGATGCCTGGTTCTCCACGGTAGACGACAACGCGATCGTAGAGCGCGGTCGCCATGACAAAGTCGTGCTCGATGATGAAGGCGGTCTTGCCGAGGTGAGAGACGACCCAGCGTTTCATCACCTTGGCACATACGATGCGCTGCTCCACGTCGAGGCCCGCCGAGGGCTCGTCGATGAGGTAGATGTTCGCTGGGGTGCCGAGGCAGACCGTGATGGCGAGGCGCTGGATCTCGCCGCCGGAGAGGCTCTTGACGGGAAGGTTCTCGATCTTATCGAGGCCGAGAGGCTTCATCACGAGGAGACGGAAGAGGCGGTCCCCGAGACCGTGCTGGATGCGCGCCTCGAGGAAGTCCTGGACCGTGCCTGGGAATTTGCGGAAACGCGGACCGACGTGCTGGCGCTTGTAGGACACGCCAAGGTGCTTGAGGCTGTGCTTCTTCCCACCCTGCGCCCCCGACGCGTCCTTGCCCTGCTTATCAGCATCGGCCTCGTCGTAGGATCCCGCGAGCATAGACATGAACGTCGACTTGCCGCAGCCGTTCTCGCCCATGAGGCCGACGATCTCGCCATCGCGGAATGCGCCAGCCTCGACGTGCAACGTGAAGTCCTCTCGATCCACCTTATCCGAGGTGAGCGTGCGCGTCATGGCCGGATACGAGTGGCTCGGGACCTTCTTCTTGCCGTCCTTGTCGACGGCTGCTGCGCCCGGGCCGCCGCCCGTTGCCGCCTGCGCCTCGGCAAGCTGCGCGTCCTGGACCGACACCTGAAAGCTCAGGGCCTCGGCGCGGAAGCGCATGTTCTCCGCAGAGAAGTAGCCCGCGAGGAACTGATTAATGCCGTTGGCCGCAGACTGGCGCTTGGTCACGACACCGTACGCGCCTGCGCGGATGGCGCTGTCCAGCCATTGCGCCGGCGCGACGCGAGCCTCCCCGAAAATGACGCCCCAGCTCGGCCCCGTCGCGCGCAATCGCCCCGGGTCTGCTTCTCTCCTCGAGACCTCCGGAGGCGGACGATGGCGCGCGCACTCCTCGAGTCGGCCCGTGTCGCATCGGACGGGCCGGCGACCCGCCTTCAGCGCCGGCGCGCGCCAGGACCGCCGTAGAGGCAGCAGACTGCGTCGCTCATGTGGTCCAGCACTGTCAAGTCGTGCTCGACGACGACAACGTAGGTGCTCTGCGCCTTGCGCGTCGCCTCCGCGGCGCCACTCTGGCCGTCGCCGTCCTTGTAGCTCCCCGCCTCGACTAGGCCGCGGATCGCGGACGAAGCCGCCATGCGCTGCTTGACGTCGAGGAAGCTCGACGGCTCATCGAAGAGGTAGACATCGGCGTCGATGCACAGGCACCGTGCGATGGCGAACCGCTGGAGCTCCCCGCCGCTCAGCATCTGCACCTCGCGGTTGAGGAGATTCCTGAGGTCGAGCGCGTCGATCATTTCTTCGCTCTTGCCGCGCTCGTCGAGCTCTTTGAGCGACGCACCCACGGTTTTCCCGACGAACTTGCGAGCGAGCTGCGGCTCCAACTGCGGCTTCACCACCACCCGCAGTCGGTCCTCGCACAGCGCCGTGAAGTAGTTCTGCAGGTCGCTCCCCCGGTAGTAGCCAATGATGTCCGCCCAGCTCGGCGGCGTGCCTCCGATGACGCCCAGGTTGGGCTTGATGCGCCCGCTCAATGCGTGGATCGCCGTCGACTTGCCGATGCCGTTTGTCCCCAAGAGCCCAAGGACCTGCCCCGGCCGGGGCGTCGGTAGCCCGTGGAGCACGAATGCATTCTCCCCGTATCGGTGCGTCATATCCGTCTCCAAATTCGTCGGCAATTTCACGATGGACACCGCGCCACCGGGGCAATGCTTTGCTCGCGTCAGGCATGCCATGCAGAGGTCCTCGCTGATGCGCACCAGTTTTCCCTGCACCTCGATGCACGTCTTCCCGCACTTTCCCGCGTACTGTTTCAGGAACGCATAGGCCGCAGAATTCGGCTTGCACTTCTCCGGGTCTAGGATCAATATCCGACGGTCAACGGCCGTCGTGTCCTTGGCTTTGCGCTTGGCAAGAGCGGACATCACGCGTCCCTGCTGTCCGGCGACTGGCGACTGGCGACCCACCGAGGGCACCGTGAGTGCACCGTGAAGTGCTTCTGTTTCCACCCACTTGATCTACCCACTCGTACGAAACTTGGCCTCACGGTCGCCTGGTATCATCGAAAGCCGGGGTTCGGAAATCGATCTTATGGAGAACTCCTCCCGCTCGGCAGCCTCGTGTCGCCCCACTGCGGGGTGCTCGGCCCGCGCCAAGCTGGTGGCGCTCTGCGCGCGCGTCCTGGTACTAGGAGACTTCGGCACCAATAGACGATGTCAGATTGACTTTCCAACAAACTGTATCACTAAGTTTGCGTCGGTATTGGTGCTGTTCTCCCCGGGTATTCTAGGGGCACTAGCGCGGACTCTCAGCCTGGATAACACCAAGGCAGCCCTCGCTAGATGTGAGATAAGAAAAAGGGAAAAGATACGGCGACGCGTATCTGTAGGGTAAAGATATAGTGAGATAAATAGGGCGGATACATGCACTGCAATGTCAGCTTCAAACTAAGCTAAAGGTAGATATTGAAGGCGGAAATCCCGCCACAATGGCCCCCAAACTTGATTCATACCGTCCTCGGTATGCCGCCGCGGGACAGCCCTTAGTTGGGGGCCGTCGGTGGACGCTCGCGGAGTCGCTGAACGTCGGCGACTTCGTGGCGCTGGAGACGGGCGACTACTGGCGCCCGCAGCGCGAGGGCGGCGGCAGCACGCACGCCTTTTTGCTCGCGCGCGTCATGGAGCAGCGCGGGAGCGGCGGGAAGGGCTACGTCGTCGCGGACGACCGCGCGACGCGGACGCACGACAACGAGGAGTACCGCCCCGGGGACCCCGTCGTCCTGGTGCGCCTCTTCGACCGCACGGGCGCGGACACGCGCCGCTTCACCGTCCGCATCTACCGCGCGAACGGCAGGAGCGTTCTCCGAAAGCTCGACTCGGGCGACGGCCGCGAGGACCAGCCCGTCGTCGGCGGCACCACCGCCGTCGCACCACGCGCGACGTACACGATCACCTCGGCCGCCGAGCGCGCGATCACGACCGCGGCGGCGCACTGAGTCCGCTTTTCGCGCGCGTTTCGCCCGCGGGCGTCGTTTCGCGCGCGCGCGCCACACCACCGACGCCGTCCCATCCGAGCCCCTGGCCGACGCCGTCCCTCGCGGACGTCCCCGGACTGGGGCGGACGCGTCGTGACCGCCCCCGGGACCACCCGGTATCGTTAGCAATTGTTTCGTACTTCTGGGGGGGGTCGACCGTGGTCAGAGCCTCAGTTAAGGCGAGCCGCAGCGAGGTATCCGCAGTCTGGTATCCGATACCAGACTGTGGATACCGAAGGTGTGTTATCTGTGGATACCGGACGGCCCACTTCGTCGCAGACGCAGCCCGGGCTGCGTTTTCGCAAAAGTCGCAGCCTGGTCGCATTCTCCATGTATGGCGACCTACGGCCCGCGCGGCGACACCTACAGCCTTCGTGACCATCGATAGCCACTCTGACGAGCTTTCGGCTTCCTCGGAGGCCTCGAAGCCGCTGCGGTCGGGTTGCCCCTGGCTGCGGCGCGTCCACGCCACATGCAAACGGTCCCAGGACCTGGTGCGGCTGGGTGCGATGGTGTCGCTCGACCGGGGGACGTCCTGGGACAACCTCCTCGCGTCACTGGCGCTGGAGGAGTCGTGAACCGTCACTGTGTCCCGGCGGCGGGCAGCCGCGGCGCCCGAGCCCCGACCAGACAAACTCGACGATCTCGACTCTCGCCGGCCAGACCTTTTAACAAGGCGATGCCGGAGTGACGACAAACGATCCCTGTCGCTGCACGAGCTCGAAAACAGCTTTAGGGGGTCGGGGGAGTCGAGCGCGCCGCATTCCAGCCCCTAAACTCGCCCGTCTGAGTCGCCGCGCAATCGCCTGAATGTCGCGTTTTCACCAGTGTGTTGTCCGTGCGCGTGCGGCCCTCAAAGCTGCTGAGATCGTTGCGCAATTCCCCATATTTGCGGAGCTGCGCCACCACAAAGGCTGCCATACTCTCTCGGCCGCTCAGATGCGTCCTGCGGATAGATCGATTGATGTTTGATGGATGTCTGAATGGGATACCAGAGTGGGATACCACACTATTATTATCTGAAATCTTCATCAGCCAGCTGATATTGGTAACATGCGCATTACATAATGGGACCATGCTCGAGCCGCCCGCGGCTTCGCCTAAACGAGAACCTCCTCAGCACGGCCGACTTTTCATCAAAATACATCAAGAAAGTGACGCGAGGTGATGGGAAGAGGGAAAATCTTGTTCTGGGCCAAGGGAGCTTCGGGAAGGTCGTCTTAGTAGAAGAGAGGGCGACGCGCAGCGTAATGAGGGCTCTTTGGTCCATTATCTTGGATCTACTTCACCTGACTGGGGCAGTTTGCGAACTTGATGAGGAGAGAACGGCTCGAGTCGAGAGAGACGGTAATAAGGCGCAGCTCATGAGTGTACCGTGACTCCTCGATTACTTTTTCAGGACGACATCCAACGTAATATTGGGGTCCCGAAGACTAAGAACTCTCTTTGTCATTGCGGTAGGCAACGAAGGACACTTTTGCTCTGAAAATGATCGTGAAGCGAAAGCGAAGTGGCGGAAACGCAAAGCTGCTGGAATCGTTGCAGACTGAGATAACCATCCTCCAGCGGTGTGGGTCACACGAGAACGTGTTGCAGCTCTTCGACGCGTTTGACACGCCTCGGCGTGTGCTGCTCGTGATGGAGCTCGCGACGGGCGGTGACCTGCTCGGCTGGGCGACGGACGTGCACCGGCCGTTCAGCGAACGGCACGCTGCGAGCGCGACGGTTCAAATCCTTGGTGCCATTGCTTTCCTCCACGCTCAGGGCATCGTTCATCGCGACATCAAACCTGACAACGTCCTCGTCCGGGACCGAGGGAGCTTTGTGATCAAGGTTGCCGACTTCGGATGCAGCAAGATTCTCCCGATCGCCAAGAGGGGCGGTGCGCCCAACGGAGATAGTGATCTCGGGAAGCCTATCATCAACGACGACGCCTCCGAGCACGAAGCTCTCATGGAGACCTTCGTCGGAACCAAAGTCTATGCCGCGCCCGAGATCCTCCGGCACGAGCCCTACGATGCGACAGTGGACGAGTACTCGACGGGAATCCTCCTCGCATTGCTTCTCACGGGGACACATCCACTCAGCGATGTTGAGATGGACACCAACCTCGCGCTCGCCAGTAGCAATGCTCAGCGCGGGACTTCTTTCTTTCGTACACAAGAGAGAGGCGTGGCAAATTTCTGGCTGCTTTTCCACAGGCGATGTGGCGCATCTCATCGATTTTCGCTGCGCCAGCTGGCATTCGGTCGCGCCCGAAGGGGTCGAGGTGGTCAAGGCTCTCGCGAACACAGACCCTGCGCTCCGGCCGACAGCAGACGCCGCCCTCGTGAGTTTCAAGTGGCTTGCAGATTTTGAGACTCTGGCCGACGATGCGCCGCTCTCCGATGATGTACTCTGTCGGCTTCGGAAACTTCGTGTCGATGGGGTGCAGGCCTTGGCGCTCCGCCTCGCCGCAACGTCCGGTGCCCGTGGTGCGTCAGCGAGCTATTCTTCCTTCGCTACGGCCACCGACAGCCTCTTTGAATCCCTTGACGCGGATGCCACGGGGATGCTCAGAAGGGCAGAGCTCGTTCACGCGGCCGAAGCAAGCGGACTCGGCGCGAACGACCTCGACGTCGCTTTTGACAACGCGGATCTTGATGGGACGGGCGTCGTGAGTAAGGATGAGTTGCGGGCGGCGCTTCTTTGTTCGCACCACGAGCTACTCGAAAGTCTACTTGTCGTTGCATTCGAGAGGATGGATGTCAGCAAAACCGGCACCATCTCAAAGCAGGACATTGTTGACGCTGCCAAGAGCGTCGGCATCAAGAGACTGGACATCAAAGATGTCGGTGCATGGATCGCCGCGCACGACGAGGCCGGCGACGGGGTGCTTTCATTTTGTGAATTCAAGAATATGATGGAGCGAGTCACGGAATAATCAACTGAAAGCTAGCGCCGCGCCGTCGTCTCGCACCTCGCGCGTCCCGACGTGCGTCCCGCGCCACAGAGCACCTCGCGACGATGATTAGCAGACATCCATATAGAGAGGCTAGACCAACGGGAAATCGGGGTGTTTCGGCGGAACAATGGTCCTTTAAACGCGGCTATGGTATACCCCAAACAAAAGCGAGGTACAGTCTACTCAGGGGCCATTTTACTCCGCTGACGCTACTTAAAACGACGCCCTGAGTGACTGTACCTATTTTCCCTCGTCGCTACGCTCCTCGGGGTCGCTGACGCTCCTCCTCACTCGCTTCGCTCGTTCGGGAACTCGCTTCGCTCGTTTGCGCTATGTTGAAGTTTAAATTGAATTTTCCCAAAATGGTAGAAATTTATCATATACTAGTATATAAAAATGATGATATACTATATAGTATATAAATATGTTTATACTCTTTTTTTTGACGCAGGATGAAAACCTTCGTTTTTCTACATATCAGGTTTTTATCGTCATTTTTTTGTATATGATAACCATTTTGGGAAAATTCAATTTAAACTTCAACATAGCGCAAACGAGCGAAGCGAGTTCCCGAACGAGCGAAGCGAGTGAGGAGGAGCGTCAGCGACCCCGAGGAGCGTAGCGACGAGGGAAAATAGGTACAATCACTCAGGGCGTTGTTTTAAGTAGCGTCAGCGGAGTAAAATGACCCCTAAGTGATTGTACCTATTTTTTCTCGAAGTTTGCAGTCAGTGGGAGTCCGCCAACCTCCGGCGGCCAAGCGCCAGGACTACCTCAAATTTGACTCGTCCGATGGCACCAGCTAAGACTGCTATGCGAGATATCGTCCAATAGAGACCATGCTTCCTCAGAACGATGGACTCTAGTGCCCGCGGTTCAGCGCGAAGCTGCTCCTGATTGCCTTTCTTCGCGAAGTCGCAAGACAGCGCTGTCGTAGGAATGCCGCTGGGCGTCGTCGACAAGGACTTCGTACGCATCATTCAGGTGCGCCATGATCGTCGAGCTTTCCTCAGAATTATTGCGGTCGGGGTGATGGAGCTTGGCGAGAGAGCGGTATGCTAGCTTAATGTCGCCCACTGACGCCATCTCCTCAACTCCGAGGGCCTCGTAAAGTGATCGTCCGCCCTGCGCGACACACCTAGCGGCTTCGATGACGAACTTGCACGCTACTGCGGCCTCTGCGTGCAGTGGTTCCCGAGACCTACAATCGGTGCTAACTTTTCGTATGCGAGAAAAGGCTGACATCGGACGCTGAGCCGGACTCGTCGAGATTTTCGGTGGCTGCGCGTGCAAATGCATTCATCCCTTGCATCCTTTTGTGTGGCTTGGCATCCTGTCTCAAGCCGGGCTCGCCATTACCATCGCTCTCATCCGTCTCTACTAGCACGTGGACAGTGCCTTGGTCGTGCGTGGTCTTGGCCGCGCTTGCGCTCCTAACCTTTCCCTTCTTGTAGACGAAGTCTTCCTCCTCCACGGCGTCCCGCAGACATTTCAGGGAGACCCAGCCGTCGACGGGGTATTCGATGCGGCCCCGCATGACCTGGCGCGTGGCGCAGTTGTCGGTAATATACGTGCAATCTTCTTCGATAAGGTGCACCGTCTCGCCTGGCTCCAAAACTGCGACCTTCAGCGACGTTGTATCGAGTTTCGAGCGAACGACCGCGCCGGGCGCTCTCACCGTCCGTGTACTCATCATGACAGTCGGGTTCACAAAACGAAGATGTTACAAAGGCGGGGTTTGCTCCGGCGACGGCGTCCGATGGCCGACGCGCCCCCCGTCCAAACTACCGGGGATTGGTGTGCGGCCAGGGACGCCCGGTGGCTAGACGTGCCAAAAATAAGCGCTCGCTGGCATGTAAAGACCAACCCCCCCGGCGGGGATAACTAGCTTACCTTCGTTCAGCCAGATCCCCACCAGCTTCGAAGGAGAGAGAGGCATGGTCTTTACTTGCCAGAAGCGCTCGCTTTTGGACGAATGGCTAGCCGTTTCGCTGGCTTGAGTACCAAACACGTACGCGCGGGCCGGGAACGGAGACCTCTGAGGCCAAGCTTCCGACGCACGGCAGCCCGTTCTGGTGGTCGGAGTGGCCTTCCATGACCCCTAGGCGTAAGCCTGACCGTCGGTGCCCCCATTGGAGGTGGTTCTGGCGTCGACCAAATTCCACCGCGCGGGCCTCGTCTCCGCGGGGCTGCCAGGCCGATGGAACCGTGACGGCGTGTCCGGTGCTCTCAGAGGCTAGGCGCCTCGAATGGCTCACATGGACCACACGATGTCAATAAGTGCAACATAGGCGTGGGGAAGTTCAACATAAAATCACCATAGCCCGGTTCGAGAGCCACAGGTGGCGCAGCAGTGTTATGAATTCCATGGAGGGCATCAGTTGTGAGCTTGTTTGAGCTCTAGAGCTCGAACGAGTCGATTCTCAGCACTCGTTTTGTTTGTTGTTGAGCCTTTGCAGCGAACCGACAGTTAGGTGTGTAAGGACTAGTACTATCTCGCTAACGCGCGTTCCACGGGGGGGAAACGGGCTCTTCTGAGCGTGTGGTGCGAGGAGTTTGAGGACTCCGCTCTGCGCGAATGGCTCCCGTCAAGGCGTTACTAATCGATGGCCCAGCGCCGTGGCTGATGACATGATATGGCCTCATTAGCGCACACGGCCGAGCGTTGCGCCATGCTGGGGCTAGAAGCACTCGAAGCTGTGCCGTCAGTGGGAATCGCTGGTCGGACGCATCTTGCGTTCCTTCCATTGTTAACGCACGTGACCAGAAGCTGCGTACTATAGATGACCCACGGGATACCACCGGGAGCATCGGGACCCTAGATACCATGAATGTGTAGCTGCAGCTCGGCGTGGAGAAGATCGGAAAGTTTCGAGGCATCGCGCGTATGTCTCCAGATGCCATCCTCTCCGCATTCGTACCTGCAGGGGCCACTGCCGGGCCAGGCGGATGGGAACGATCGCAACCAACATTTTACGCACCTCATGGGCGATGACAACCATATCTGCTTGTTGGGAGCCTGCTTGTTGATGACCCACGAACCGTCCAAACATTTAATACTTAGAACTCCCGAAGCAAGCTCGCACTCGACGTCATCACGCTCCTGTTCAAGATCGTCCACGGCGTCTAGTATCGCTTCCAGGGTCTGATCCGCAGCGGCGTGATACGCCAACATCGATAATATCTTCGAAGACGACGGCGCGCGCGGATCTCCAGTTCTCACGTATTTCTTTACAACAAAATCCAGACTGCTGGATGCGTACTTTCGTAAGGCCGCTGCACCGAGACTGCGTGTGCACTGGAACAGCATGATAGCGTGGGATAGCGCCGTGATGCAGCCAGAATCACAGCCAGAACGAGCTACTGGGAGTACGTGATGTACGCGCACCTTCGCGGCCACTAGAGGGCTGCACGGACGTAGCGTTGCACCTTGCTATCTGCGGTGCTCAAACATCTCCTGCGGGAGCGTGATCGCGACGCGAGCTTTAACATGTGTTGGTTCGGTTTTCGAGGCCGGGGTCGCGCGCGTCGCGCCGCGTGCGCGGCGCAGGGTGCGCGGAACGCGCGGGGCGGGTGCTGGGCGGGTTCGGGTGTGTTGAATCGCGTCACGAAGACGACGTTGGACGCGGGCATCGACGCGACGCGAGTTTTGACATGTGTTGGAGCAGGCGCCTGGGCGAAAAAAGACGATGTTGCCCTGAGAGCCCTGCTCGTCCGATGAGCAAGGCCGAAAACAACCATAGGGCTAGCCGCGGCCATAGAAGTATTTATTTATTATTTGGGGCCGCCGGCTGTAGTATGTCATAGAGGTCCTCCGTCGACCACGCGCGCGCGGGTCGACTGCCGAACTGAAATGTTGGCAGAATTGTTGAATTATGCCCCCCTCCAGGCGCGCGCTTTTAGTTAGCGCGCTAATCGTATCGTTTGAGACACTTTTCAGGGTGTGGGGTCGCCGGTTCGGGTTGGGAGTCGTAATTAAATGTTCAACAAAACGCTTACTTGAAGGGAAGTATCACCCTGGGTTATTCGTTTTCAGAGTTTGTTTTCGGCCTTGCCGATGAGCCCCAAACTTGGCAGGCTTCATCTCTCATATAGTTTAAGTGCTTCCGTGAGCTCCAACTTTGTCTCGAGCCAAAATGTAGTCCCGGTGATCGGTCCATCGCATGAAACGAATGCATGCCTCGGTGATAATCCCATGACTATATTCTGGGTCGCAGCTGTGCTGCAGCTTACGATAGCACTCTAATACATACATAGGTCGCGTCTACCAAGCTTGGGGCTTGCGCGCGACGACCGTGGCGATGCGACCCCTCGCTCTCACTACACCGCACACATTATGGCCTTTTAGACGATGGCGCGCGCGCCCAACCCCATGGTCTTCAGACCTGAAACTTGGCAGTGAAGCCTTTGGAGGGCTTCTGGCACGTGGTTTGGAGCGGCGTTGCAGTTTGCCCTTAAAGAAACTTGAAGGGCAGTTTACCAAGGCTAGGCAGTGGGGGGAATCAAAATCGCAAAATCGTAAGGGGTTTGGGGTATTTCGGGTCCGCAGAAGGGCTCTGGAGGGCTTCTGGAGGGCTTCTGGCACGTGGCATGGGGCGGGTCGCGCCCCCTAAGGCGTGGGCGGCGCGTCAGAGGTCCCCGGCGAGGCGTGAGCGGCGGTGTTGAGGTCCCTTTTGAAGGGCAAGCGGCGGTGTTGAGGTCCCTGTTGAAGTACAAGGTTTGAGGTTGAAGTCCAAGTTGAAGCGGCGTTTAACATATCCCGCCGGCGGGATATGTTAACCTGTGCGCCGGGAGGTGGGGCCCCGGATGCTCTGGAAGTAGAACCTCATGGGGTATTTTAGGTCCGAGTCCGCGAACGGGTTCTGGCGCGTGATTTTGGGCGGGTCGCGCCTCTTAGGCGTGGGCGGCGCTTCTGAGGTCCCCCTTGTTGAAGTGCAAGGTTTGAGTTTGAATGAAGCCTAGGTTGAAGCGGCGTTTAACATGTCCCACCGGCGGGATATGTTAGCGAGGTAGCCCCCCCCCACAAGGGGAGGCTGAGCTCAATTGAATTAGATAATGCCAGAATGAAGACCGACGGACCGCGCTTGGATACATGAGGTCACGGAGTAAATACATACCCTGCCCTGTGAGTTTGGCCTATGGGCGTGTCCATCCATCCTGTGATTGTTTTTGGCCTTGGCTCTGGCTATGAACCTTGGTGAAACCCGCTGCCTGACAGTCGGTCACGGGACAACCACAAAGTTTCCGAAGTGCATCTCGAAACACAGAGTCCAAGAGAACCAATGGAGTCGAGCACGTCCAAGAGTCCCCCGATATCAAGCCACCTGATCTCACGGAGAAGAACGCCGTCGAGAAGACCCTCGAGGGCCCGATCGGGTCGGACGCGGAGGTTTGCGAGAGCGCGGAGCACCTTGGGGAGACCCTCTGCGTTGAGTCGACGCGCCTCAGGGTCGAGGGCGTCGACGAGGGCGCGCTCGGCGCGTCGCCGGTCTTCACCGCCGTCGCCAAGGCGCCCGCTACCAAAGGCCCAGAGCGTATTTGCGAGAGCAGCGGCGTCCATGCGACATGCCTCGCGCGCCGCGGCAACATCGAGGCTCCGGAGGACATCAGGCTCCAGGCCGCTGTCTATGTCGAGGGCTGCCGTGGCCCAGACCGCATAAGCGACGCCGGCCGCATCCATGCGACGCGCCTCACGGCAGACAGCGGCTGCAAGAGCGCTCCAGGTCGGTGCACTTGGTGCCGTGCGAAGCATAGCGTAGGCCCAGATCGTATTGGACGCGCCCTGCGCCGTCATTTGGGGGGCTTCGCGTTCCGCCGCGATGTCGAGCGCGGCGACGCACTCTGGCACGTCGCGACTGCCACCAAGGTGCGCAAGGCCACAAAGCGCGTTTGCCACTCCCTGTGACGACAACTTTCGGACCGTCCGAATGATCGCATCGACCAGTGACCCAAGGGGCACGTCCCGTGCACCCACGCAACCATGCTTGATGAGCACCTACATGAAACGACCGTGGATACGGAGCATCCGCCAAGGGAGCCCTGTGATCCCTCGCGGTCCTGACGAAGCGTACGAGCTCTTTAGAATGAGAGAGAATGGACTAATAGACTCAAAGCCCGCACTATGCGATGAGGTAAAAAAAGGCTAAAAAGGAAGTGAGCCTTGGTGCAGGCTCATTGGACGCTGAAAGGAGACGCCATAGCCGTGGAGCGTGTTTGACGCGTGCCGCGCCTCAAACGTAGATGCGTGTCGTGACGCGAGATGCCCCAGCGCGGCCCAAGCCGGGTCTCGTTGGTGTGGTAGTGGCATCCGCTGTTTGGCCCGCTTCGCAAGCTGAGATACCGCAGTGCTCGTGTTCACGCCATTCATCGCCTCGTTCGATACGATCGAGAGAATCGACGCTCCGTCCCGAGCGGCCATAATGCGCTGGTTCCGAGCGATAAACTCCGCATTGGAGCCAGCACACTGAAGGTCGGACACCCGATCAAGCGTGTGTTCGCGACTGCGACCACGATCACAGCCGGGAAAAAATTCAGGTGGTCGCTCCCGAGACCGACTTCGTCGCTCGCATCCATGATGCCGGAACGTGTGCCGACCTTGTATAGCGTCGAAACGTTCGCTTGAGCCGAAGCGGCGTTGATGTTGCCGACCTTCGTATCTATAGGACCCGTCGTTGAAGCAGGAGCGGTGACGATGCTGGAATTCGGGATGCTTGCTCACTGGCTCGTACTTTCTAAACCTCGAGGCGTTCTTCTCCATTATGCGCCAACACACCCCTGACGAAATCCAATGCGGCTGAGATGCAGCTCACAGCCAAAACGCGTTGGTCGGGATTCCCGACCAGCGCGCAGGGTAAATTTTGACCTTTGGCTCCGAGCCACTAAACTTTTGGAAACCTGAAAGCCTCATCATCGCTACGCCGTGCGCCACAGCCTGATTGCGCTCCGACGGGGTGGTCATTAAATTTTGTACACTTTTAGCAAGGGTGGTTCGGCTTATATTTTTTGGGTCAGGTTGGGTTTGAGTGATGAGTTGCTGAGGCATTTGAAGGTAGAGATGTGTGATGTGGCTATGGGTATGCCGCCAGAGCATGGCCAGTATAAGGCAGACTTAGCATAGCCAGCATAGGCCAGTATGAGCGTCCCAGCATAGGGAGGATAGCATAGTCCCGAGTTAGGGTAGCATAGCCCAAGGAGCGGAATGTAGGCTCCCTAGGTAGCTGGCTTATCGCCAAGCGCACTTTGATTGTGCTTAATCACACTCGCGTTCTGACCTCGATAGTCGCCGTTTATCACCTCCCCGCTGAGGTGGCTGCGCCATCCAAGCGCGGTCCGTCGGCCTTCATTCTGGCACCTTTAATTGAAACTGAGCTCAGCCCCCCCCTTGAGGGAGTAGTTTACTCTGCCTCCTTTAGCTCAGGCCAGTGGGAGATACGAAAGGCCAAGTGGACGGAAACCTCCCTGGGAGGCGTCCTCGGCCACATTTTGTCGTGAAATTGCCGCAGAGCTTTTCTTGAAAATAGATGAAACTAAGTTACTTCGTCCTGCCAATGACACCAACCTATGAAGATGTTGTTATTCTCGTTATCGCACACCCCGACGACGAGAGCATGTTTTTTTTTCCAACACTTGCGCGCTTGTCTGCGGAACGGCCCGTGCACATTCTGTGCCTCTCTGACGGAGGCTACGACGGCTGTGGCCCCGCGCGCGACCGCGCAGCTGAGCCTTGGCTCGTTCGAGGGACCCCCCCCTCTCCAGGTGCGCCGGCGCGAAATGTATTCCGCCGCGATGCGGTTTGGGGCAACAGCTTCGGTTGTGGAGGACCCGCGCCTCCAAGACGGCGGGGAGTGGGATGCCTGCGTCGTTGCGGAGGTGGCGCGGCGAGGCATCGAAGCTTCCTTCGCCGTGAGAGGCTCTTGTCGACGATGCGTCGTGACATTTGATGAGCGCGGGGCGTCGGGCCACAAAAATCACGCGTCGACCTCTCGTGGGCTGGTCCTGCTGCGATTGGCGTCTGAGTCGCAGGCAGATTCACTCTTTGGGACGCGCTTCTTCGAACTGGAATCGACACCCTTCACGAGTCGCTTCCTTGGTATGCTCGCAGTTCCCGTTGGCCTCGTGCGATCACGCGTTGATCCGCAGCCTTCTGTTCTCTACGCTAACTTGGATGTCATCACCGCATTTCGCGCTCTAGCTGTCCACGAAACACAATTTGTCTGGTTCCGCAAGCTTTTTCTTGTCTTTTCCTCGTATACGTTTCTCAACCGGCTCATTGAGATTCAAAGGCCGATAATGCCGATACATTCGCTTAGATGAATTTGACTAGCTTACCGAGGTATGTAGCAAGCGCAACAGTGTACGCCTTAGTGTAGCAATGTGCATTCGTCCATGCAGTATCTGGCGCCGATGCAGTACCTCTTAGCACGCGAAAGCCTGGCGCCGCAACTGTTCATTGACAACTGCCGCATTCACCATCTAAAACATGCGCAAGGGGCAAGTAACACACCATGCTTTACCAGGTCTCACCTGTGGGAAGGTTACGGGAAGCCTGCCCCCTCACTCCACCGCCTGAACTTCCTCAAACAGCACTAATATGAAGAGTCTGTCAGCGGCTTGGACTTAGAAGCGATGGAGACCACACAGATTTGAGAGCCAAGTTTACGATGACGCGATTTTGTTTGCAAGGGATATGGAGAAATGGGTGGGCCTCGCGGGTCTCATCATGGCCGACCATGCCCCACAAGTGGTGCAACAAAACTGAGTGACCGAGAGCTTTCCGAGTCGGCCGAGAGTTCATTTGGCGGCCGGCTAGAGGTACTTCCTCCTGACTAGCCTAATTAACGTTTCGTGACACGGATCAACCAAATTCGATTAGTCGATCATAAAACGTGTGCAATTACGTTGGAATAAATGCATCCGCATGAAGTTTTGCTCTATTCCACGTTTCTGGAGCAAAGAGGCCAAAACGAGCGCGGCCCAGCCCCATGTTGAAGTTCAAGTTGAATAGACAGCCCTATGTTGAGGTAGCCTGTGGTCGTCAGCAGCCGCCGCCGGGCAGTGTGTGGGCCGCAGGGCTTCATGGATGTGCTCGGAGATCGATGGAACGGCGTGTCCGGTGCTCTAGGCGCCTCGAATGGCTCACATGGACCACACGATGTCAATAACTGGCAGTGACGAGATCGAGCTGTGAAGTTCACTTTTGGACGGCCTGAGTAATCAAAACAATCGGCTCAATCAAAGTCCGAGCCAAACGCCGCAGGGTATACGTCCGTGGCTGTCCGGCTCCTGGCCGTACTGGCGACTCCAACGAGCTCCCTTTTAAAGCTCCCTAGCCGTACTGGCGACTGTAACTTGAAGTAAAGAACCCTTAAAAAAAAAGGTCGACCACGTCCAGACGAGGCCAAGCTCGAGCGCCGGCCGAAATTAATCAAAAGCCGGGTCGAAATTAATCAAAAGTTCACTTTTGTACTACTTTAAAAGTCAACTCTCGCTCGATCTCGTCACTGGTAACTGCAACATAGGCCGAACATAGGCGTGGGGGAGTTCAACATAAAATTACCATAGCCCGGCTCGACAGCCACAGGTGGCGCAGCAATGTTATGAATTCCATGGAGGGCATCACTTGTGAGCTTGTTTGAGCTCTAGAGCGCGAACGAGTCGATTCTCAGCACTCGTTTCAAATGTTTGTTGTTGAGCCTTTGCAGCGAACCGACAATTAGGTGCGTAAGGACTAGTAAGAGGAAGGGGCCCGCCGGCTATTGTTTCTATTGAAGGGGGCTCTCGAGTAAGGCCCAACCGCGGCTCGGTCTCTTCCGCCGCAAGCTGCACTAACTACGCTCGGTGGTTCTAGCGAGTGGCGAGGCGCCACGCCAGCGACGATTTCGAGGTCGAGACGGAGGCGAAGCTCCTGGAGCCCACATTGAGGGGCCTGCTTTCGAGGGTCCTGTGCCGCCGCCGCGGCGGCGGCGCTGTCATAGTGGTTCTAACCGGAGAAGCGGCTCTTCGGGGACCGTCGAATGGCGATGGTGAATCGCGTCAACGCTTAAGTCCACGACGCCTCATCGCAGTGGTTTGAGGAATGGTGCCCCAACATCAATCTCACTGTCGTTAGGCAGGTCATAATCTTCAAACCAGGCTCGAAAGGCCGCATCGGCCCCAAGGTCCCAATACTCGTCGGCGCGTGCAGCTCCTCCAACCTCACCTGACGCCACGGGCGCCCACATCAGGCTATACTGGCGTTGGGCCCATGCGGCATCACTTACTCGTTGGGAGTTGTCGTTCGAGGCGGCAAAACGGGTCATTTTGTCGCGGCCGGCGCGAGTCAGCGGCTGAGCCGCACGCGCGTGACATGACCTGACATCAACGCCGGCGAAAAATTCGTGGCTCACGAGGCTCGCCATGCTTGGGCGTTCGCAAGGCTCGCGCGAGAGAAGCACGAGTTCAAGGGCTGCTGCGTTCCCGTTCAGAGCTCGAACGTTGGTACCTAAAGAGCACGAAGCCCAGATTCATGATCGCAGAGTGGCCGAAACCAAGTTGACGTCGGAAGTTGCCAGCACTGCCATCGAATGCAAGGATCAGCGCCCGGCTGGTCTCTTCGTCTTTTGACGAAAATCTTGGGCGCGCCTCCACGCAAAAGTGCAAAACGCAACCGAGGGCCCATGCGTCCGCTGCCGTCGTCGGCCCCGCGCCCTCAACCTGATCGTAGCGTTCGAATTAAAGTGAATTGCAGAGACATGAGCCCGAATATTTGACCAAGAGAGAGCCACACCGGAACTTGACGCACTCTGGCGCGAGATAGAGTGTAGTGCCTTCAACCTGTTGGTAGAAATTCAAGAAAAACGATGCTCGACGTTTCGGTAAAACGCAATTTCACAAGTCTTTGTAAGATGCGTCACACCGGAGTTGGCCCGGCTATCATCAAACTCTTTGTCAGTTGCAAGGATAGCGTTCGCCTAGTTATCGGGATGACAGCATGCCAGTGCAAAGCACCAATATTCAGTCAGTGCGGGTGGGATGTGCGCCGGAGCATGCCAGGCCGGTCTCGCCGTTTTCTTTTAATGCGGGTTGCCAGTCGCCTGGAGGATGGGCTAAGTTCGATTTCAGAAGCGACAAAGGAGCAGGCAGTTCTTCACTCCGGGTAGGACCATTTCGAAGATCAGCGATGGTGCGCCGCTGCGCTTCGCGCAGCGCCGCTTGTGCACTTTCGGTGACGCCACGTGCGGCACCAAAATCAGTGACCTTAACGTGGCCGGCGCCTGCGGCGAGCGATGCACGCCATGAGCCGAGAATCATGGGGCGTCGCCGGACGCGAGTCCAGCGCCTGTCAGGAGGACATTCTCTGGTTTGAGGTCGCCGAAGCAAAAGCCCACATCGTGGATAGCCTCGAGCCTGCGTTTTCGGGGGCGGCTATCAATGTGGGGGCTCTGCCACGTCGTCCTCGCTGGCGCGGGAGCCCCGCGCAGCGACAATCGAACCGAGGACAAAGACGGTAGCATGCGTGTCGAGGGCCCCCTCTCCTACTACGGCAGAGTGGAGGTCACCGTTAGCAGCGTATTCAAGCACCAGATACCTGGAAATCCGCCTTTGGGCAAAGGTAGTCCAATAGCCCACACCGGTGCCGCGCGCATCCGATCGCCATCGAAAGCTTGAGAGGAGGCGAGCAACCCCAGGGTGCGAGATGCGCGCTAATACGGCAATCTCCCGCGCAATCTGCGCGACGCTATCGAGCTCCTTTGGGCGCGCTAGTCATAGACACGGACCCCTGGACGTTGCGTTCGTATTTGTGTTGTATGACTTTGGCCCGCGAGATAACCTTCACCGCATATTCGGGCCAGGCAGACCCGGCGAGTGCATGCTTAGTGGCCGCAGCTCCCTTGAGGATGCGGCGCGCGTACTTGACCACCTGCCATTGGAAGGAACGCATGCTTAGGAGTCTATAATTGAACAAACGCCCAGGCGAACGAGGCCTTCCAACGGTTCCTGCCACTGTGGGACGGAGCACGCCGAGGCGAGGCGAGTGGCACACGCTCTAAAAAGCTCTCTTCAAAAAACCTTCTCCTCACCGGACACCGGCATCAACGCCAAATGCGCCACGCCCAAGTTCTTTGCCAAAGACGAGATCGTGAAATTTGAGATCTGGGAGGATGGCCGGCGCTTCAGCAGTCAGAGCCGCCGCCCAAGCGCGTCGAGCGGCGTCGGCCGCGCCCTCAGCTGAGAGGCCCGTCTCTCTGTCGACGGGAGGCGCAAGCTTGGCTGCGAAGGCCCGTACAAAGTCGAGGCCCTGGAGACCCTTCGGGCCCTCAGGGGTCGTGGGAACCGCGAGGGAGGCGCCCAACCCCCCAGGGGTGACACCTAGGGTCCGCGGCAGCGGCGCGGACCGCCGGAGCGGCCGCGCTGTGCGCGCCCAGGGAGCTACGCCAGTGACTGTCGTAGGCGGTGGCGCACCGCTCGTGGGCACCCAGTCCCGAGCTGCTCGCGCGCCATGCACAGCGGCAGCCACGTTCTGCGCGTTTGACCCCGGCGCGGCGGCAGAGCAGGCAGCGCCTCTCTCTTGTTCCGGTTCTGAAACGTCTGCCGCGGCTGCGGCGAAGGCCCCATTATCGAGCGACTCGAGGCGCTCCAGCACAAGCACCTATGCCCAAACTCTCCCTGCAGTGCCCGCGCTGCCGCGCTTGGCGCTCGTTCGCCCGCATATGTGCGGCCGGCGTCGCAGCCTGGCGCGGGGACGCGGCGCCACACGGTCATCCGATTCACCGTCGGATTCCAGTGCGGTTTGCCGCTGCGGAGAAGTGCGGGTAGGAGAACCCTGATCAGCGAGTGTGCTCGACCTATGGGTGCGGGACTCCTCGCCTCGGCGGTGGAGACTTGTCGTGGGCACCGTGGCTCCGCCCGTGGCGCGCGCGCAGAACTCGTCCCGGCGCCAGACATGGAGGCCCTTTTCGACGAGGCGCCAATTTTCGGATCTAACACACGCCGCAAGGCGGTCGATGTAGCGCGGGAAGCAGCGGTCAAGTGCTCGGTCGTCAACGGCAAAGGTCGTGGCGAAGGGTCCAGTGTGTGCGGCGCGCGCGACGAGGAGTTCCTCGAGGGTCACGAGGAGCAGGATTTCCTTGCTCGTTGACGCGGACGAGGAAGCGGGCCAGGCGTCCAGGATGCCGAGTACCTGCGACGTGAAGACTATTCGCGAGAAGCTCTTGGAGAATCCTGTGCGACGTCACACTTGTCGCTTCGTGAAGTCTAGTCTTTGTTGACGACTGCGGTTGTCATAAAAAAAATTTACTGCGCCGCCGAATACGAGGTCCGCACCGTGAAGGGGACTTATCCGGATGACACCGAGGCAACATCCCTGGAGCTCGGTCGCGTACGAGCCGATGAGCGGTAGCTGGTCGCGCCACTCGGCGAATTCACTTGGGAGCCAAAGCGGAAGGAGCGCGCGCTCGAGCAGTGCGCCGGCGGCGGGTGCGGCCAAGGCCGCATCCCGCCGCTCCGAGAGCGCGTAAAGGACGGCCTGTAGCACTCCAAGCACGGGTGCAATGGCCCACCGCCATCGCGGTGCCTGCCTGTACGCGTCTACCTCCGACCCAAACGCGAGCCGCATTGACGACCGCTGGCTCTGGCACGCAGCGTACGCCGCGATGAGCGCCCGCTTGATCCAATCACGCTCAACAGCTGGCGGGCACTGTCGCAACCTCCCCAGGAGCGCATCGCATAGCCCATCGTCTACAAGCGCCGATATCTGGTTTGCCTCGGCTTCGCGCATACACTCAACCAGAGTCTGCAGCTCAGGCGTCAACTCCCCGACCAGCCCTTCGTTCCAGTTTCTCACCGCGCGCTCCTCAGACCACGCTTTGGAAAGTGCTATGATTCGGGCTCGGGCTGACGCCGGCGCCGGCGCGCCGAGCAAGTTACATGATGCCGTGTCGTGACTAGTCTCAACGTCGCTCGACATGCCTCCGGCCAGTGACTTTGCGCGAGCTCTCCGGCGCCGGCGCGTCGCGTTCTCGCGCGCAGCGGCCGCCACAGACTTGGCGGCCCGGCGGCTCAGCAATGGACACGCCACACCTCGATCGGCAGCCGGGCCAATTCAACGAAAAACGCATCTCCACCGACCATGGAGATTTAGCCTCCAGGGTGGAGAATGGGTAAGGGGTGGATGCATGAACCCGCGAGGCCCACGCTCATCGGCGGCGTGCACTGATGGGCGCCCCTTGGTCGCCGCGTCGAGGCGAGCATAATCCGCGCTGACAGCTTCCTCTGAGGTGCCCCATACTCTGAGCGATCCCCGGGTGCGATTTCGTGGCGCGCGGGCGGACTAAATAAAAAAGGAAAAAACTTAAAAGCGGCGCGTTGGCGCGCCGAGGTCCACCCACGCGATGGGGCAGCTCGGCGTTCCCGGCGCTCGGCGCATGGGGCACCTCAGAGGAGGCAGTCAGCGCGGATTATGGTCGCCTCGATGTGGCGGGATTTCCGCCTTCAATATCTACCTTTAGCTTAGTTTGAAGCTGACATTGCAGTGCATGTATCCGCCCTATTTATCTCATTATATCTTTACCCTACAGATACGCGTCGCCGTATCTTTTCTCTCTTTCTTATCTCACATCTAGCGAGGGCTGCCTTGGTGTTATCCAGGCTAGCGCACCATTCATTGCAAGTCTTCAAGAACCAAGTAAAGTCTGTATCTTACTCGTCCCCGCCTCAGATGCCGGCCGCCCGGGATCCCCGCGGGCCCGCCTCGCAGTGGCAGCTTTTGCGATGGCCCGTGCGCGCGAACGCGGCCGTCCCTATTCACGAGACTTTGCAGGCCGCTAGAGGATCCTACTGAGAGTGCCTCTGCAGCGCATCGACGTGCGGGAAGTCGAACGCGTCGCGAAACCAGCCCGTGCGCTCCGCAGTGCAAACCAGTGGAGGTCGGTCGACGGGACCGCCTTCCGCGCCGCGCACGACTACGGCGGCTGCTGCGAGCGCTTCGGAGGGTCCACGAAGGTACTGCGGACGGGGCGCGACGTCGATCATCGTCCCGACGCACGTATTTCGACCGCGGACTGGCGATCAAGGCGCGCAGCGAGACGCTGGCGGGTGAGGTCGCATCGATGACGGCGGTTCCAACGATCTCTGACTGCTGCGGAGGCCGCCCTCGACTACCACAACACCTGCGACGCAAAGCGCACGACCCTGGGACCCGTCGACGTCCCGCGACACGCCGACGGTTTCGGGGTCGTTTTCGGTGCTGGACCAAGTGGCTGGACACGCGTTTTTTTCGCCGACGAGAAACCGCTGCCGTCGCGTATGGTCATGGCGACGTGCGCGCGGCCCTTTAGAGCGCCGAAAATGACTCGTATGTCGTCGCGTAAGGCTCGGTTTTGGGCTGGATTTCCTCTAGGGATCGGACGAACGCCATCCGATCGCTGCAACAATCTCATCAGCTCACTATACTGACCACGAGGAATTCCCTTTTCAGGTGCAGCCCCGTAATCCGCGACGCCTTTCCTGGCGAGGTAGAGCCTGCGCCACTCCTGGTACGCCGGCAGGTTCATCAAGTGCGTGCGGGTCCCAGTCGAGGTTCAGCCAGGTCTGCTTCCACTGCGACCGCGGGATCTGGCACGCCGCGATACCATAACTCCGCTCAATCCAGACGGATCCGGACGATTCGAAGGCCGCTTTTGAGTTCCTACGCGGGCTCCTCGGGATAGGCGCAGCCTCGGGGCTCGGCTCGACGACGGCAAAACCCTGGGTTTTCAGTGTCGCCCCCTAATTTGACACATTCCCATTACTACACACTTTATTCAGGACTAGCAGTAGCAGTAGTGCGTGTTTGACTTGATGAAGTATCCTGTATCCTTAGTTAGGGCAGTAGAAATAGAGAAGTAGAGCATCCCACCAACCATCGTCGAGAAGGAATAGGAACACCTCCACTTCATTGAATACACGTGAATTTAAGACTGGCTCGTTTGTCCGAGGAACTTCAAATTATTCCAAAGGCCACAAGTTGACAGGCAGTCACAAATAGAGCTTTGATTGTGAGCTTCGGCGCAGCGTCAAGTACCCAGACGTGGAACGTAGACTCATCGTTGCAGTTGTCCGTATAGCAGCAAGTCGCATTGCACTTTTTGAAGTAGTCGCTCGCCTGGAAGTACCATGGCATGTTTCGACACCACGGCTCGAGGTTCTGCTGCGAGCAGAGATCTCTCACCCCACATGTTGAGTACCTACCGTGACCACTTGGACGGTATGGACAGAGACTCTGAAACATGCTTAACGGAAAGTTGTTGTCGTCTTTTCATGGTACTGTACGTCACGCTCATGCAGGCATCGTAGGAGGTCGGGCAAGTGTAATTGCGCTCGATTCCACTGTCATCCTCGTCGGGGTACCCTTGAAGCTACAAGATGTTCAGCTTCGTCCCGCGTTGCGGTCTACATAACAGGGGCGCTGGACATCACTTCCATGTTTTTGTTGTAATCGTAGCCCTGCGTCGGGGTTTACTGCCGCACGCAGCACACCCAAGGGGAAGGTAGACCTGATAACAGGAGATGCCCATAACCGCCGTCGTCATACCGACGAGGCAGAGGCGTCGCAGCGGGACTCTCATTATGCCTCGGTTAGGATATGTGTCGATCTATATCCTTTGAACACTTCCGAGTCGCCGAGCCTGGTGCTACCGGAGGCTTACCGGTGACTGGACCTGGCACGTCGCTGTGACGCTAACCAGACAGGAGCAAAAGAGCGCTATGCACAGGACGCCAGGGACACTACCCCCAAACGGCCTCTCCAGCCCCGTCAACGGTCTCCCAACGGACCGTCCCCAGGGGCAAGTCCGGCCGCCTCATCCGAAAAATTTGAGTGCGACCTCGCACGCTTTCTCTGACGGCCACTTGGCTCGTCTCTGTGACGTTTGGCAGTCTTTACAATAGGTGGGCTGAATTTTCGGCGCTTCACCTCCTTTAATACAGAAGAGTACCGCAAGTGGCGGCGGTATTGGGGTCCACCATGCCAGTATTCCCCCCACCACCGCTTTTTCTCATCTTGTGTTCCGTCTGCTCGGGTATAGTTTATTACCATGGTAAAATTTGTAGACCCTGGTAGCACCAGTGCCTGGTTTCTTATACCTGCATCCGAATTATCTTTTGGGACCAAAATATAGAGGTAGTTTAGCAATTCCTATAGGAACCAATCCTCAGCTGGCCCCAGAACACCCAAAGCACCCCGGGGGCCACCCCAGGCCGGTACCAGTCCACCACCCGCGTCCGTAGGGACGCGCCGACGAGTCCGGCAGTACTCACGGGGCGCACAACTAAATAAGGGGAGTACTGCAAATTGCCTTTACGGCGGTGCTATATGTGTCCGGTTGCGAGTTAGTGGGCTAGCCCACCTATCATCGTCCTGCCTCTACGTCCTGCCCAAAATAACACTGCTGGTTGTGGTGGCCCTCTCCCAGCTCGCCGCTTCCCCGGGGTCCGGGGCCGCGGCGGCGTGGATTATTTTTTCAAGCATGCTTGGGCCTCTATTGACCTGCATGAAAATCCAATCTCAAGTTGAGCTACAATGAGACTGCATTCTTTACAAGATTCGAGCGCAGCTGACCATCAGACGGGCCGAAAGCCGTAGACGGATTCCCAGAGGCCCATCTTTTCCGGCTTCGTCGAGGTCAAGCCGGTCGTCGTCGATCGACGCTGCGACTTCGTTTGCCTCGGCGCCGGCGCGTAGATGCCCGCACGACTTGAGTTTGCGAAACTCGACAAGGATGACACGCCAGGAGACGCGGGCGAATGTGCGTTTCCCTTAATCTCGCTGATGCCGGCGCCCTCCAAGTTAGCAAGCTCAGGTCGAGGCCCATGCTGTCACACCATGCTCCTCGCCAACATTGCACCGGGCGCTGCTTTGGCGTGCCCGAGGGTGCCATACTTGGCGCCTGAGTTGGTCATTCTCGCCGCGGCATAGGCGTCAAGCTGCTTGCGCAGGTGCGCGCCCACAGGCACGGATATGAAGTAGTGGGTGAGGAAAGCGCATACGAAAAGTGTCACAGGCAGGACAATCTGGAATGTCCAGACGCCATAGGGGGCCTTTTGGTAGGCACCGTAGCTCACACCAAAGGGCGCTCGGCCTTGTTCTGTGTACAGCGTGTCCTTGTCCGCGGCGGCGTGGTAAGCGGCCCCAACGAGGTGAAAAACGACGGCCTGGAGGATATATTGCGCGTAGGATATCGCTCCGAAGTACTGTAGCCAGGGTCTCTTGAAAGCTGCGGCGGTGGGATCTGTCTCTGAACAGAGGCCAACTATGATCAGCGCGTTGAGGGGTGCGAGACCGCCATTGTGAATGAAATAGAAACGTCCACCCGCGTACTCGTCGTCGTACAACTTCATGCCCGAGATGCCCTCGACGCTGCAATTGAGCGCTGTGAGGACATAGGCAGTGTAGCCAACGGTCGCCCCATGGTTCACCAGCCAGCGCAGCGCGACGGCGAACGGAACGGAACCCGAATTGACGACTTCGAGTGCCTCTCTTGTCGGATCGGCACCGCGGATGCCACAGCGGATGCCAAAATCAAGGTATATGCGCGCAAGGACCATGCCAAATGCAAAAGTGTGCACATACATGAGCGGGTTGTAGCGGTAGAAATCATGGGGTGCATCTGCATGTGAGAGACCACGAAACCACATGTCCATGCCAGCACCGCCAGAACATGCCCAAAGGCCGACAGCAGTCGGCACGAGCGCCTGGCGCGGCAGCCGACGAAGGATGCGATACAGCGGCTTGAAAAGGATCCAGTAGAACGCCAACGCCGACATAAACCACGCGGGGACGTTCCAGTGGATGGCCATCGCGTAAAATTTACCGCCCACGCGTCCATCTTGTTTCCCATATTTGGCACAGATCATGTTCGGCCACCAAGCCTGGGTCAGCGTTAGATGCATCCCATAATTAACCCAGTCCTGCCACGTCGCGTAGTTAAAAGCACTGGTACCTATCGAGAGCACACATTGAAGCCGCTTCAGGATAGAAACAGTTCGCGCCCGTGCCTCGAGCAGCCCAAGGCAGGGAGCAAAATATAGGTTCAAGGCTGCGCCTAATGAAACACTCCTATCTCGGAACGCTGTTCGGTGCCAGCGAGGTTGAAAAGAACTAGGACCAAAGACAAGAGGTACGCAGGGTACGTGTTCGTGAGCCTCTCGGCAACATACTGCCACGTGGGTTTCAAGTCGTCTGGCATCGAAGATGAAAGCCGCGCCACCGCAAGGACAAACCTACCAGCGCGACAGGAGTTCTTGCAGAATCACAAGCCGCCGAACGCTGTAGCGAACCCAGAGAGGATAAAAAAATACTGGGTCAGAAAGGTGCCGAAGCGAAAAATGCGTATCGCCGAACGTTTCTCAGATTCGCTCACGTCGATACCTGCCCATTGATAAATACCCCCACCATTTGGGGTGTAGTAGTGGTAGGCCACAATCCAGCACGAAGCCACGTAACGCGAAAACACCAGGGAGTCGAACCGCACGCGTCCCATTTGGAAATTTAGAAACGAGACGTGACGCGGCGGCGGTATAGAAAAATTTACAGGCGGTAGAGAGATAGAGAGTTTTGTATCTCCCTAGTGGCTCGCAGATGAGGTGAACCATAGCACAGGCGTTATAGGCTAGGTTAAGGAGGAGGAGGATACGGGGGATTGGTATCCTAGGGGATGACGCTGGGGGAATTGGGTCATCTGCTCCCCCGCCGCATGCGGGCGTATGGAGGGGGGTCCGCGAGGGGGCCCGATGGGAGCCCGCTTCAGAATGACACGGCCCGGTGTGTTTGGCAGTGTGACTTAGAGTGCCGCTGCCAGCGGACCGGGCAGCGGACCGGGGACCTCTAGGAGGCAGCCCCATCGCGTGGTGCAGCTAGCGATAGGCATCTTTGGCCACGTTGAGCCGTCTCGCGCGTCCGCCCTACGCTCTGCTCGCCGGCACCCCACGAACCCCCCTGGAGTCTATATACTATTTTGCAGTGTGTCGCGGAGCGTCCGTCCGAGCAGCAACATAAAACTTTTAATGAGTGGTTAAAAGCGAGCGCAGCGAGCAACCTCAATTAAACGAGTGGCCGATAGCTCGCGAAGCGAGCTTGCCGGCCGTAGGCCGGCTTGTTATGCTTAAGCACGAGTTTTAGGCGGTGTAGGGCGGTACCGAGGCATCAGCAAGCGGGCACTCCGACGACCGAGTCGGTGGTCATGCACGGACCCCACGACAAGTTACCCGATGGTGCGCTCCAGCGCGCGGGCGTGCTCTACAAACGGTCAGACTTCCTCAAGGATTGGCAGCCGCGACATTTTAAGCTCGAGGGCTTCTACCTGCGGTATGCCTTGCCGGATTCCCCGCTGACGGTGAAGAAGGCGCTGGACTTGGCACTATGCAAGATCACGCGCTGCGATGCGCCCGTGCGCTCCAGGGGAGCGCAGAATTTCCACCTCCTTGTCGTGACGAAGATCGGAGCCGGCATTGAATGGACGCTCGGAGCACTCCACGCGCGCGAGGCGGACGAGTGGGTCTTGGCACTCAAAGCTGCAGCCGGCAAGGCCACGCGGCGCGTAGTCAAAGGTGTCCAAGATGAGCGGCGCGCCGAGCTGTGTAAAGGTGTCCAAGATGAGCGGCGCGCCGAGCTGTGTTGCGCCCCGTCGACCGAGTCGCTGCCCACCGCGGCTCCTGCGTCCACGTTGAAGACCGAGGGTCCTCGGCGGCGTGCGCTTGCACGCAAAAAGAGGCCGAGCGTCGCCCCAGCACCAACACCGGCCGTGGATATGGTCGCCAAAGTGGCGCCCGCACTGTCGAATACGCACCTCAAGCCCGGTGCCGCATGTCTGCCCTCGCCGCAGAGCAAGCGGCGACATTTCGTTATCCTCGGATTTCTCGCTCCCTCAGTCATTTACATTGCATGCGGCGCGCATCCTGGCATCCAGCCGCTCCGCGGCGCCATATTTTTTGCATCACTCCTCGCCGTCGGCGTGAAATCGTCCTTTTTATCGGCGGCCACCTCATAGTCTCGCGCCAGCGCCCTTTTTCGAGATATCCTTTTCTTTCGGCGGGG